TTCCAAAGAGTTTCACACATATTGGACAACTCTGTCATCTCTTGTAGTTTCACTGCAGCACAGGCAACGGCATCGTCTCTGGAACCTGAAGCAATTTGATTTCACACTTGCAATGTGAAGGGTCACCACACCTTCTTACATCCACACATTAACTGGTCTTTGTAGTACTGACACTGTGATTTGTGTCTCTCTCCACACTGCACACTGTATTCAAAATAGCACATCGTTTTGGAATCTGGGTGAGGGAGGGGGTGTTGTGAACTGAGGGAATTCGGAGGCGATGTCAACATTGGGTTGTCATAGTCGTCGAAGTGGTTTGACAACCATTTGTGAGTTTGTACTAAAATGTGGCAGGAGAATGGCCTTATCTTGATGGAACCGTCATTCATATGGACAACTATTGGCCACCCTCATTCAATATTCAGGACTCAATTTCTACAGTGGTCGACAATTCCACATAGACACCGGAATTCAGCCCAAGCCTTCTTGAAAATGTGGAAGGAGGCATCACATAATCCCTAACAGAGGAGTAAACATATGAGAATCCCGACAATTTGAGCAAACTTAGTCAGTATGACTCGATGATTGTCTTTGAACTATATACATGCCACCTGTTTCATCTTTGCTGCCGTTTTCTCGTCGGAAAAGAGCGAAGCTATTTGTGATTCCTGTATGAGGTTGTAGTAGTGAAATTCTTTATTCAATGCAGGTGTGGTAGTTGTGTCTGAAATATTCAGTTCATTGTGGAAACAGAAGATCCACTGCAAAGCCAGTTCAGTCTGTCTGTCCTTCAAGTCACTGTAATCTTGATTCCCCATAGCATTTCTCCATTTCGTTGAAGATTCTTCGAACAGTATTGAGTGAGCATTGGGGAGGGAACAAGTTTCCTTATCTAGTTGGTCAGTACTAATGGAGATGTTACGTTATTCTCTTCCATGTTTCAGGTATGCTCGAGTCATCGGTTCCAGTTGCCATAATGCGTATACATGGAAGCGCTTAAACATAGGCGGTGCAGTGTGTATGGACACCTTCAGTAAATCTGGAAGAGGGACCCCGTTCCCCGTGTGCAATCCACCTCTGATAAATGAAAATTTGCGCTAAAAGAGGCGTAGTTTTAATCAAAACGAGATATCACCACAATACTGCTTTTCCTTTAGTTGACTCAAAATAAGTGGAATTAAACAGTTATTTCTAAGAGAACAACCAAATCGTGACAATACAAGTGCACATGTAGGAATGATAAGCTGTCTTATCTGTCAATAATGGAGTGTTAACTTTTCGTTGTATGTGTTTTAAACTCAACGTGACTCCAGGTCTAAGCACAGTGTGAAGAAACCAGTGATCGATAGGCCAGTGGACAGTCCATGATTTGAGTGTAGATAAAATGAATGCTTGTTCTTGTGCCATTGGATTCACAGGTTATGTTTTGAAGCGTGTGCCTTGTTATTTCAATATATTTCCAAATTGTCATTAGCTTTGGTACACAAGGCAATTTCTGCAAGTATGTGCCTTGCATAAAATTAGGCCTTACTTATCCACACTCCGCAAATTGTTTTTACCTCAATCAGTAGAAAAGGGAGGCTGTTAGTATTACGAGCATAAATTTAGTACCAGAACTCAACCCACCACCAGAATCAGCAGCAGAATCAGATTAATTATTCATCAACCACTTTGCTAGCAGGTGTTAGGAGAGGCAAGACGTGATTAGTCGAAGGGAGAGTGGTGGTGGTGGCGGTGTGGAAAGAGGTGCTAATTGTGACGATGAAAAGCTGTCACAACCCCAGCAGACTCATGTTTTATGCAGGGATTATCTCCTTCTCACTATTTTGACTCTTATTGGATAGTATTGGAGAATTTCTTAATCAGGACAATTTTTGCAAAATCGGAGTAAATGAGTAAAGCCCAAAGTTTTCTTGTGTTAGGCATTTCCATTAATTATTTAACTAAGTTCAATAAAGGTGGTTCATTAGATATGTAAAGATGGGAAGATTTCCAAAGGTGGTTTTTTTATCAAATTGGTTGAGGACGTTTAAGATACATTAAAATATCTAAAACAAGACTTCATATTATTTGCGTTCACTTTATGCACTTTCTTAAAGGGCTTGACGAAAAAGAAGCTATCTGGTTGAGAAAAAATAAGGGGAATTACTTTTCAGAGTAGCTGTGAACTTACTTGATGATTTACTCTCAACTTCCGTTTCCTGCAATGAAATAGGATCACCAGAAATCCTTCAACACGTTCATTGGACGGAAAAGGGTGTGGATAAAATAGCATGGTAAGGACTTTGATGACCTCAATTGATACAATTCATTGCTATAAAAACAGTGACAATTCATATTTATTCACTACAACTTAGTTGGATACACAATTGATTTCATTCAATTGAAAGTGATCCTAAATGAAGACAAGATAAAAATTTCTATGGTAACTTCCTCATACGTTCCTAAACACCCTTTCTAATTAATTTAAACTTTAGTACCTTTTCGTGAGCACTATTGAATAAAGAGATAGGTTATGCCTTTTTATGGATGAGTGGTGATGGTACTAAACTAGTGAACTCTGGTAAAATTGACGAATACGTCACCATCGGATTCATTTCTACGACCTTTTTTTCAAAAATCTCGAAGGCAAACAGACAGGTTAAATTGCGTTAGAAGCCAGAACGAATCAATTTGAGGCTTCTTAACAGTTTGAAATATATATATATATATATATATATATATATATATATATGGACAGTTATTAATAGTAAATTAAAATTTTGGAATTATTATTCTCTAGGTAAATTGGCAAACAATTTGCAACTCAACCAACGGATTGTAAATAAACTGTTGCAATAATGAACGTATGTTGTATTTTGAATATTTATCTAAACCGCAGTCTTGCATCACGAATTTTCAATATTAACAATGCCGTTTGAACTGTCGGCTTATATTAGACTAATTGGTTACAGTTTTCCCTTGGTAATATTAGAGTTACAAAGTAACGATTTTTTTTATATTTAGGAATTATCCAAATGATAGTGAATCTATAAAAAATGGGTGAGGAGACAAATAGGAAAAGATAATGAGGAATTTGGGTAAATAACCAAGTGACATTCAAATCAATTAAGTAATTTAAACTATTTTTAATCAAAATTTGACAATGATAATAAATATTAGACCTTTAAACATGCAAAAGGTTTAAGATGCAAGGCAACTTTGTGATGTAACCGGAAAAATTCAGCTAAGAACTTCAATTGCATTAATTATCATTTCCCAATCTGCACACCACCACCTTTAAAAGAATTACGCACTTGAATGCTCAAAAACATTAATTATGCGTTAATTTGAAAGCTCATTTTGAGTTTTGGGTGTAAGCAGTTTGCGTAACGGAAATGAAAGTGTAACTCTACCATTTGCAGACCAACTGGTTAACCACCACGCCACCAGCATTGTAGACGGTTCACCAACAGTTCCAGTTTCAACTAACATGTTTCTGGATACACAAACTCTTCAAAATGCAGTGGTCATGAAATCGTCAAATTTTAAAACTTAATAGCTAAACACGGCGTTAATATCATTTGAGGAATTTTAAAGTTGATGCTAACTAATTCGAAAATGTCTGCATAGGGTATTAAGAAAAATTAAAATCGTAAATCAAAGACTATTCTTTTATGAATTCACCCCGCACAAATAATTTGTTTAGTTGTTAGTCATTTACTAAGGAACTCAGATGATACGCACGCAGGAATCATATTAGATTTCTTGATTGAAAAAGATTTGGCAGTAGGGACATCCCCGAAAATTATTGTTATTATACCGCCATATGTAGATTTAAGACTTCTTATTAGGATGAACTTAAAAGCCAAAATAAAGAAGTCCTTTATTGTTTAATAACGCAAATCGTATTTGTCAGCTTGTTATAATAGAATAAACCCTTGTAATGCACAGAAAAGCATAGCTTTTGTTGGTTAATAAGTAAAGCGAAATTAAGCCTTGAATACTCCCAAATCGTTGGTCATTCAATTCCCGAGGAGATTTACGCTGCTATTTTGAAATACGGACCAATTTATAAACTGATAACAACATGACTTTTGATATGCTTGCATCTTTCTTTGGTTTACAAGACAAAATACCCCTTGTTCGGATACCAGAAATTGAAATGATCGGTTTGCTAAGTTATAAAATTGTAGGAATAAATGAACCAAAAGCTAGGACTAAAATTAGTAAACAACAAAAATATTCCTAAAATTCAAAACAAAAAAGAACTGTACTTATTAACGTATGTTGAATAAGCCATGAAGAGAAATTGAACACGTTCGAGTAAGAAAAATGGCATCTCACCAGATGATAAATTTAAAACGAGTGTGCTGAAAGCAACAGCATACTTTGTCGATAAATACGATAAACGTTACGATGTGTTGTATAAAATTGATAACTGTTTGGTTGAAAGCCTATGCACTTACATCCACAATGATTCAGTATGTGCGCTCTAGCACGCCGCACTCATTTATAGCAAAATTGATAATTTAAGAACAACGAACTTGAGGTTACCACAGAGTTAGGCATCAATGTGTGGTCGAGATAAATAGGATTTTGTGATCAGTGATAATGAAGTTATTTAACTAATTCTTTGAGACGAAATCATCACTTTGTATTTTACGAAATTCAAATTTTCAGGTCACCATATTTTTCCATTTCCATTTGGTAGAAAAATTTTTCCCTCGATTTTAACTGATTGATAAGATTTAATTGTGAAGGAAAGCTCTGAAATTAAGTCAATGCAAAATGAAATCAAACACTTTAAACTTATTGACAACGATTTCATCAAGAGATACAATATGAACAAAATAAATTATGATAAAAATACACACTTAAATGACTTAACATATTAACTTTTAAGCCAGCGATAATTTTGTTAGACAACTTTGCAGTTCTCTATATTCTTCATTTCTTGATAAAGACACGACCTTGAAGGTGTTTATGCGGATTATCTTATTGCCGCCTATATTAGATGAATGGAAAGTGTTTTTCGTCAAATAGTTAGATATTGTTCTACAGTTAAGCGCAGAACTCGGACACGATTTGCACCGAGTCCCACAGGTCCACTACACATTGGAGGGCTTCGGACGGCACTTATTAATTACATGTTAGCGAGAAGAGATGGCGGAGATTTCATTTTACGGATAGAGGATACTGATCAAGTACCTAAATTTTCATAACATATTTTAGTCTCGGTGTTCTGTAGATGCATTTGTAGGCATAATAAAGGGTCTCAAGTGGGCTGGCCTTAACCCAGATGAAGGACCAAGTTTCGGTGGTAAATTCGGTCCGTATATTCAGGTATCAATTAACTTTAAAATCTTTTAAGTTCAGTTTTTTTATAAATGATTTGTATCTGCTCTTTTTAAGTCGGAGCGTTCCAAAATTTATCGCAAATATGCCGATCATCTCTTACAAAGTGGCCGAGCTTATCGATGTTTCTGTTCTAATTCCCGCTTGGAAATTCTCAAAAATGAGCAACGTAGAAGGGGAGAAACAGTTCGCTATGACAACCGCTGTCGTCATCTCTGCGAAAAAGAACTTCAATCAAATCTTTTGCATAACTTGCCTTACGTTATTCGCTTCAAAGTATGTCGTTTTTTATTCGTTTAACTTACTTTCTTTAGTTGCTTCCTGGGGATACAGTTTTTCAGGATGCTGTATATGGAGAAATAAGCTTCCCAAATGCTGACTCGGAGGGTGATCCGGTAACCTGTGTTAAATGTTTATACCAATTAAAAATTAAAGGTTTTACGTCTATATTTTACGTTATTTACAGGTTATAGTGAAATCAGATGGGTTACCTGTTTATCATTTAGCCAACGTTATTGATGACTATCTAATGGAAATAAGCCACGTCATTCGCGGTTCAGTAAGAATTTTAGACTACTAAATTAGTTTACTGTCGTTTAAGGAATGGATTACATCGGTTCCTAAGCATCTTCAAATCTACGCCGCATTCGACTGGCAACCTCCAACATTTGCCCATTTACCCCTCTTGCTCTCTAGGTAACACAGACCCTGCTAAAATAACTTATATCAATTAATATTTTTAAGTGATTTTAGGTAAATTCAATTTTTTCTATAGTTCTGGACGCAAATTTTCCAAACGTGACAAGGAGCAAGCATCGGTAGCATTAGTAGAAAATCTACGCTGTGATGGCCATCTGCCCTCTGCTCTTCTGACCTGGCTAGCGGCAACTGGTGGACTTTTTGACTTCGCTCCTTCCAGTGGTAATGGAAATTCCAACGAGAGAGAATTCACAGGTCTCTGGCGGCCAGAAAAACGCATCATGGAATTAGTGCCATCGGTAAGCAGTAGTTTGACGCCTAGACAGTATTGGACAGGACATCCCAGTAGTGACTTCATATTTGATTAACTTCGCTTTCATGTGTCTTTTATGATCATTTAGTCTATTCCTATACACTATATACCCAAAAGCTTTGTTTCAAAGTTCAAAGATTTGCTCTCTTATTCTCAAGGTCTTCTTTAAGTATTTGGGCCGGTGCATGCATTTTGTTAGCAAGCCTTTACGGTATTATTGATCTGTGTTCATCTGGATTTCTAAGTGTCTTCGGTATCATTTGTGGAGTTATATTTTATTGCCTTAATTAAGACTAAAATTTGCCTTCGAACTTTCAGTTTGATTTCCAATCGTTGAACCGTCATCATGCCCAAGTGGATCCTGCGTTACTTCAACTTTGTGGAAGAGCACATTTTGATCGTCTTATTAACGAAGCCGCCTCCGAACCCACTACAACTCATCCTACCATCACGGAATGTCTTCGCGATTACCTAAATGAATTTCACCAGGCAGATGAAGACTGTGCTTATTTGTAGGAGTCTAGGAATTACTAAATTGTCTTTCCATAAACTTGATAGGGACTTTAGTATTTTCTTTGCATTTTACTTCCTTGCAGAAAAGAATTGCTTAATGATGAGAGACGCTTCATTGCAATGCTCAATGGTCTAAAGGGCCGTATTAGTAGGATCTCAGATTTGACCTCAACGTCCTCTGAGATCAGCTTTATCTGCCACTCTCCAAATCCGGAGATTATTAAGTCGTCACTTTCTCTTCTGGATACTATCGGCCAGGCCCTTTCAACCGTCGCTTCAAAGTTGGAATGTATGGAACAACCTTCAGAGGACGAATTGAAAGCGATCTTCCAGAGCTCTAGCCAATTAACTGATCTTCCAAAAGCAAAATTCCTCAAGAAGCTTCGAGTTTGCCTCACTGGATCTGAGGTTGGTTACAGAATTTGTTTTCAATTTATTGTCTCTACTGATGCATTGAAAGTAACACGTATTTTACTTATAGAACGGAATGCCATTACATGAACTCATATTACTACTATCACCGAAGGAGGCAGCAAAACGAATAAAAAATGCTGTAAAAATAATTTCTTAGTATATCACCTTTTTGTGAATTTGCCATTCTATGATTATATATATATAATTATTTTGTACTTTTTGGCAATTCGTCATTCAAATTGTGTAGTGGCCAAATTTGTTAAGGATCCTGTTTCATAAAGTATTTATACATTTCCATTCCAAGTATGCTTGTTTTGGGATTCCTTTAATAAATTTGAAAGTACTGTTATCTTTATTGTCTTTAGTAACTAAACATGTGCAATTGAGAAAGCCGTGATAAGTCATTAATAAAGGGCGTTCGAGGTGGTTGAGGAGATGGGTGGAAAATAAGCGGCCGAACATCGAAAATCTTTTGCTTCTTTTGAATGTGAAATGCAGTAGCTCACTTCCTCATGAGCTAACATTCAGAAATCTTACCTTCAAGCCCTGGTCCTTAAGTGCTTCGAATAGCCAACGGTTATTTTACTCTGGCGGAGTTTGTGTTTCGCTTCGTATGAACACCCCTCTCCTCGAAGCTCTTCAAACGAATGATTTTTATCCATCTGATCTTTACATTAGAAGAATACCCGTCAATTTTCAATATCTGAATAAGCATTTACTGCTGTCCAGGGAAGAAATATAAGAAACTGTCTATTTGGAACATAACGAACAACCAGAATTAAAAAATCAATTGGAGAGCCTTTGAAGCCTCGAATTTGCTCTCTGCATCGTCTTGATCCTCCTCCCCTTATCATTGTCATGATCTCTCTCGATGTTAATTGCTTCCAATAACTCATTCTTTATGCATTTTTGTGGGTTATGATAATAATAACAAGAGAAGAGCCTTCTAGATAGTTTTATGTTAGCAAGTTAGCTTTGAAGAGCAAAGGTAATCGCTTGGTGCATAACTTTGCGAAGTTTCGTATCGTGGGGGGGAGGGGTATTATAAAGGCAACAATGCTTGATTCTTGCAAGTTGAGGGGGGAGAGGGAGAGACATTTGTCCGAAAAAAGTAAACGACTAGAAGTCCAAAAAATGGAGTATCTTTTCTTACTCAAAAGCCCACATTTCGCTGTTTTAATATGGCTCCATGTTTGGCTTGACCGACCCAAATCTGCCTAGGGTTGTAATTAATAATTCCGATTAAACATTTTGTGAGTTTTAGCTGCTTTATTAGATGAAATTACAAATTGATCCTCTCTCCCGCCACCACCACTATGATGTTTATATCGCCCCAAATAACTAGAAGTTTGTTTAAGTAGGCTTTGCGTGTGGCCAACGCAATTTTACCCAGAGCACCATTAGTGCCCAATCCTCCCCATCCAACGTCCTTAATCGTCTCTCCAGTGCATATGCCCACATGTGTCCAAGTTGCCCAAAATTTGCCTCCACTTGGTCTCTTTAGCACCACATTGCATCAAGCAAATTTTGAAGCAAAATTGCCTCTTCTTAATTTGAACTTGATTACCCCAATGCTATCTTTTCGCGAAATCTCCTGGTCTAGTGGCATAATTTCTTCTTTTAAGTCGTGACAACTGAGGGGTGGATATTTTTGTCTTTGCTTTGACGTTGGGTTGAATGGAAGAGTCGCTGGATTTTGCACGCTTTTTGAATTTAATGGACCCTCTTTTGGCCCATGAATACTCGTAGGAATGATTCTCGCAAATCCGTAAATTAGCATTTTCTAATCCGACATGATTTGTTTGCTTTCAGGGTATTTCTTCAGAATAGGCCTGCTTCAGATAAAAGCTTACTTTAAAAAAATGTAAAATTCAAAGTATTTCTTTTACAGTGCGAAGAATGGGGCGCTATTTAGTCCTCATATGAGTAGTTTCAATATGAACAATTTGAGTAGGGGTTTGATAGAATCAATGCGTAAAAAGCAAGAATGAGATCACTTGTAGTAAGCAAAATACAATGAGACAAAGGTAGAGTCGAATAAATCGACTGAATCCTAAAAATCTATACTTGCTAAATATATTCTCCCTTCGAGGAGGGATGGGGGGGGGGTGGAGGTCAGCCGAAGAGAACGTTTAAAAACATCCTGTGACCTCAAAATCTTAAGAACAAAGAGGTACCTCACTGCAATTCGACCATATAGAAATCTTGTTCTCAAAACCAAAATGGTCCTTTTTCTAAAGTTTATCTTGCCTCAATGTCAGCGTTTTGTTAAGAGTTACACATTCGAAAATGTTGACGAAATCGCAAATAGAAGTCTTAGAGTACAGAGACCCTCAATGGCCGAGTGTGTTTCCATTATGGTAAATGGCTATCATTGCCACTGCTTGCAAATATATTGCCATTGATAATACCACTTGCAAATTGACCAAGCTCGGAATTTAATCAATTGGCCATTAAGCTGTGAATACCATGGAAGGAATCTCATCGACAAATCTGGTGGCCCATTACCATAAAAAAGATGGTGTTAGGCTATTAGTAATTAGGCTGCACTCCTGAGGAGCCAATGAAGAGTTCACTACTTCCATACTCAAGCCAAAGGAGAGCAGTACCGGAGTTTCTTGCCCTACCAAACCCCAAAACACGCATTTTAAATTAAAAAGTGCCATAAGTAACATAAATACTACTCTCCGTTTAATAAAAAAATGAATTTTGTGATAATGCTATGTTAGATTTATTTTATTATTTTATTTACTAAAATATTATTATTATTTCGAATGGAAGGCGTTTTGAATACTTATCATTAGCCATTTAGCTGACTTTGGGCTTCGCAGAGGGAGGAAAATCAAAGTGAGAAAAATTCGAGAGGTGGGGCAGAAGAGGGATTCACAGATGTAGAGGTGACAGACACAAAGGTAGAGAAAAAATGAGGTGGGTACTATGGAAGTAGTCGAATTTGACATACAGTGGGGTGATGGTAGTTTGAAGTCAGAAGTCAAATGCCGGTTAATAGACTTTTTTGCCGTATGAGTATACGTTGCCCAGGGTGCACCACGTGGAGGTAAGTTTATCGCACACCCCATTTACTAAAGTATAAAAAACTATTTAAAAGTTGAGCTGTCGTTGTTGTTGATGATGCTTTACTCAGCGCACACATTAAAAGAGAAGTTGAGAATTGAATTTCTTATGGAAATGCAATAGTGAGTGGGAATTATTGTGTGAGAACAGTAACATTAATGGAAGTGAACCTCCACTGACTGAGTTCTCTTACTTTAAGCGCAAATAATTTTCCCAAATTGATTAGTTAGGGGCTGAAAACAGCTCCCTTTTGAAGCGTCAATGGCTATCTTACAGCTTAAGGAGGTAGCATTAAATTAAACCTTTTGCTTTAAAAACAAATGCGGATTTAATTGGGTCTCCTAGGAAAGTGATTGAAGAAGAAGCATAGCACACGCTTTTCT